CATGCCAAGTAAAAAGGAAGCGAAGGCTGAAGGTAAAAGTATACCGAGTATGATAAAAATAATTTATATTGTAAAATTATGACCATTTTTTTAGTTTTAATATGTTTTTATACTCAAAATATTATTTATAGRTAATTATCATTTTCATTTTTATATACATTTATTGAAATTTTTAAAACATTTTGATTAAACAGTACAATTTATTGTAGAAAGTTAAGAAAAATAAATATTATGTTTAAATTTTCGTTTCAGTGTAAATAATATAGCTAACCTATGGTAAATTTTGTCCTCTTTGTCCTAGTGCTATTTTCAAAAGCATAACTACAGCGCCAATCATATAAAACAGGTAGGAATATACATTGGTTTTGAGGCAGCCCGCGGCCGTATGGCCTCCTATGAATAATATGGTACGGCAGCCGGCGGCCTAAAAATCACACAAACATCCATATGATTTTGCGGCAGCCGGCGGCCTCATGGCACTTAACGTGTTAATAAATGTTAGTGTCGAGGCCCCTTAATTGTACAGTTTACAGCACCAACCCATTTTTTGTTAATGCCCAAAAAACTAATACCTGCAAAATTTGAAATCGATCATTTAATTTTAAGCCGTGCCCCCAGGCATTTGAAGTTGAGTAGTTTTGTAATTTTTTTACAACATTTTCTAAACATTGGGTTATAATTTTTTTTTCAACAAAAAAACATTTAACATTTACTATTCTAGGTAGCATTGTAGCAAACTTTATGATGATTTCAAAAATGWCACTTGACATTAWTACATAATTTATTACYGGCATAGTTATAATTTAATGAAAAAAATAAGTAAAAGCTCAAAAAATCTAGCATAACCGTTCTTTTTATTTGTACCAATCAAATGATTCAGAATACCTTAAAATTACTTAGGGACAAAAAATGTATTGTAGTATGTAAATTAATATACTCGCATAGGCGTGTCCAGACCTTATTCGCAGGTCATGCACAGCAGTGGCATATTCAGGGGAAGTAGGTTTCTGCCCACTGAAAAAAATTTGGTTTCGGTTTAAGGATATGACCCCCAAAWTTCTCTATGAGTTTTATCATTATTAATTATTATATAATAATTCAGAATAAAAAACAATATTCCTTTTATTATTGATAAATAAAATAACAAGGCAATATAAAATTGTATTTTAAAATATAATTAATGTGTAATACTTTTACTACAAATATTTTTATAATCACAAATGGTCTTAATACTTAATTAAATACTTAATAGGTATATATTATAATTCTAAACGTCGTWTTGTTGGTATCATCACTTTAAATTCCTCGATAACTTCGTCATAATCAATATTTTTTGTCATCTGTTATTCTATGAATAGAAACATTAAAGCGTCAAGTCTTTCTTGAGTCATGGTACTGCGGAGTTTTGTTTTTACAATTGTCAGCTTAGAAAATGCACGTTCGCATGAACAAGTTGTTACCGGAATAGTGGTAAAAAGTACTATTACTTTATGGAAGTGAAGAAAAATACAAGTTCTATTATTTGAATTTAGAAAATCAATCCATTGATGAAGTGTTTTAGAAGTGGTTCCAGATGGTATATTAGGTATATTTTTAAGTAACATAATTTCAACTTGAATTTGCTCACTATCGATTCCAAATACATTATTCAAATACAATAAATMTTCTTGAGATGGCTCAAGTTTTAATAAATTCGTAACAGCAAGTATAAGTTTTAATGTTTCCTGATAAAAACGATCATTCAAACCATTTAACAAGTCATCTAAAACAACATTAAAACTCGTAACTTTCATCTCTTCTTCTTTCGTACATGCAAAATATTGATTTTCCGATTGATCAATTTTTGAAGAGATTTTTCTTTTTTTTACTTGAGGAATGTTCACTCCAGTTTCTGTACAACACTCAACTGTATCATTATAAATTTTTTTAAATAAGTTATCATCTGATCTTAATTGAGATATGCTCAGTTTTAGTGATTTGATCATATTTAAAGAATTTAATAGATCTAAATCCTCAGCTTGGAGACATGAATTAACTTTAACAATGAGTAATAAAAGAGGATGTAGCATATTTAGTGCAAAAATGAATTCAAATGTTTGCAATTGCATCAGTAAAYCTCTTGACTTTGATCTGACATCTGGAATTTTAGTCGTGTCGCAGATATTTTGGATTGCAGAGATAATGGCCAAATAATTATTTTTTACTGCGGCGACAGCTTCAAATCGACTCGCCCATCGAGTTGTAGAAATAGATTCTAAAGTTTTAAGAGTTAAATTTATTTCTTTGGCTACTTTTTCTAATGTAGCGTGTCGAATACAACTACCTTCTATAAATGAGTACAAAAATTGTATTGTACCAAAGAAATCAAAAACTATTCGATTCTTTCGGCCAATCGAATCTACCAATACTAAGTTTAGGCAATGTGCATGACAATGAACATAGAATATTTTAGAATTTATTTCTTTGCATTTGGATTGGACACCGTTAGAGCATCCCGCCATAGTAGCGGCTCCATCAAAGCACACAGCCCCTACATCCAACCAGCTGAGACCCAATTGTTTCTCTACAATGGAAGTTAGAGAATAAAAAAAAAGACTGCGAATCTACTGCTGTTAGGCGCATCATGCAAACAAAATACTCAACTGGTGAATTGATTATATCATCGTAATATCTAACAATAACTGACATCTGTTCGTGATGGCCACAGTCACTAGTTTCATCAGCCATGATTGATATTTTTTTGTTTTTTAGAGAAGATACAAGTTTTCTTTTAAGAACAGAATGAATAGATAAGATCAAATCGTTTTGAATTAAATTACCAATATAAGTTGCATTTTTGGGGCCTTCATCAAAATGTTTTTTTAATGTCGGGTCATACTTCTTAAGCAGCCAGGCAAGCTCCAAAAACATTCCTCTTTTATCACTCTTTAGATTTTCATTGTGCCCTCTGAATGGCTTTCCAGTTTTTGCTAAGAGTATAGTTATATCAATTAACCTTTGCATTATACTTCTATAATTCAATCTGTCACTTTCTCTTTTACTCAGTACTAGCTCTTTAGCTTCATCTAAAACAACATCAATAGATTTTTTATGGAAATTTGATAATGATTCAGTRCTATAGAAATGTGATTTTGTTTTCTGATGTTTTTTAAAAGATGTAGTACTAGTACTCCAAGTTTTGAATCCCCTGGTAGTAAATGCTTCATCTGATTGACCTATGTTCAAACTATTTGACTTAAACACCCTACTTGGAAAACAGTAAGCAGAGTCACTAATAGGGCTATATTCTAACCAAGGAAATTCTTCATAATATTGTTGGTGGAAAGAACGGTTTTTAATTCCAAAGGTTGTTCTTGGAAAAATTTGTAATTTAGGTTGGAATGGACCACGGTTCACTCTTTCTTTAAATTCAAGGCGATTATTAGGTAAATTTGTAACAGGATCATCATGGTGTGGCAAATTGTATACTGAAATGTATACATAGATAATGTATAATTTAAATTAGGTATCAAATAAATTGAATACAAATGGTTTATCTAAACTCTCAACTACTAGGTAAAGCTATAATATATAATTAAACTMAAAAATKCAYGCAACAGMAAATCAAAAACATAAATAATTTGTACCTCACTTACTTTATTTAGGCATATTTATAGATGAGTGGAATATAAAGTTTTAATAGGTTGATATTTTAGGAAACAAAAAAGTAGTGGTCAGTTTTTGGTTATTTATTTATTTATTTATAAAAACACGGTTGTAAATATAAAAGATAGATTACATTTAATTAATAACACAATACATAAACAGCTAACACAAAATGTTGAATAACCATAAATATCACAGGCATTTATTGTAAAATTATTTTTTCTTTAGACATTTTTATAAAAAGTAATATTTTATTATACCTGATTGCTCATTGATAGACACTGGCATGGRACATTCTGGCTCTTGCTGTAWTGCTTTAACATTGGTCGATTCTAAAAAAAAAATAATTGAAATTGTAGACAACAAATAATATGCTGTTATTCAMATATAAATATATGTTAGAATAATGTATYATGTATGTATACTTGATTGCTCATTAGTAGGCATTGACGTGGAGGTGGAACATTCTGGATCCTGCTGGAATACGTTAATATCGGTCGATCCTAAAATAATAATTATGTTTCTAAAACAATTTCAACAGCTATGATGAATTACTTAATTAAAATAGGTAATTTACTTACCATTATTGGAATTAGCATTTGTAGATTTTTTAAAGAAATCTAAAATTGTTTTATTACTCATTTTTTTGTTTTCTTTGTATCAAAATTCACAAAATAAATACTCATTAGATATTACACAATACACAATAAACGTNTGTATGTATACTTGATTGCTCATTAGTAGGCATTGACGTGGAGGTGGAACATTCTGGATCCTGCTGGAATACGTTAATATCGGTCGATCCTAAAATAATAATTATGTTTCTAAAACAATTTCAACAGCTATGATGAATTACTTAATTAAAATAGGTAATTTACTTACCATTATTGGAATTAGCATTTGTAGATTTTTTAAAGAAATCTAAAATTGTTTTATTACTCATTTTTTTGTTTTCTTTGTATCAAAATTCACAAAATAAATACTCATTAGATATTACACAATACACAATAAACGTGAAGAGTCCGCTGTTCGCACGTGTTTCATTATTTATCAAATGGTACAAATGTTATCATAATTCTATCATAAATGGTGGAGAATCTGTMATTTATCATTATATCGTAAATATAATAATGTACAAAAACTACACTAACAATTAGTACCACGTATGGATGAAATACTTATATTATCAATGCGACAATGCCCAATGATAACAAGGGAAGCATTATCAATAATTGTAATAKATATTAAAAGTCCGCATGATGAAAATCAAAAAATTTAATATGAAATCAGAATMTAAGAAAAAAAGTATATATTATGTACCACAATTTATAATGTAAGTTAGATCAAATTTCGCAGGTCATACCTGTGCATGACAGGCAAGACCCGTAGACACGCCTATGTATACTCGTATATGTAATATTAAACTWAAGTCTAAACAAATATTAGTAAGGTTGAAGTAGTTAATATATTTGTTTAAAAATCATGTASGTATTAATAATTTTAATCTAAACACAGGGTTTATCTTGAAAATAATCTACCAAATTATTATTAAATTATAATGTAATCGATTTCACTATTTCAGTCAATTAYTGTGGTTATAATATAAAGAWAAGATTACAAAAACCGTTTATATTTAATARTATTGTACCTTTTGCTGTCATTCAACAAATTGTGTTCACTATTCACTGTTTGCCTGCAGATAAGTTTAATTTGTAGTTTTTTACTTTATGTTTCATCGTCTTGTACACTGTTGTTAATATTTTACGTTTAATAATATCTTATAATATATGTATACGAGAGAAAATGTATTTAATTAACAACTATTCAAATAAAATATCAGGAAGTAAATTACCGTCTAATTTAGAAGTATTGAAGACTTTGTTTTTTTAATTTAAGAGTCGTAAAATTAAATCTTCGTGAAAGTGCTAGATTAATTATTCGAGAAGTGTTTGTTTTTTGGGAAAAAGCCCGTATTCCAGTACGATTAGAAAAACACTGTATATCTAAAGTTGAA